ATATATTAATAGAGTATCAGTGCATTTTAGCTTATTGTCAGTGTGTATATACAGTACATCAGTGTATATTAGTGTACATATACATATAGTGTTAGTGTATAAGTATACACATATATATATGCATATACACAAAAGCGCTGTTTTCCAGACCCTGTCATAATGACTAACCACATTGAAGTAGGGCCAGGCAAGCCCTCAAAAGATTATTGAGTTCTTTCATGAAAGCCCTAGATCATCCCCTGACAGATTTTACAATGTCCCTGATTCAGTTGCTCATCAGTTTGGCAGCTTTGGCAGATTTTACAAGCATCCCACCCAAATCTGTTCCTCTGCAAATTAAGCTTGCATTTGATCCTTTGAAAGTAGGTGTGGATAATCACTGATTGCCTCCTCTGTAAAAATTTTTCTGTACTGAAATACTGTTATTGTGTCCTCTTGTCCTCAGTCTTTCTTTTCTAGATTAACCAGATTTGTCCAGAATTGGAATATATCACTCCAAATCCCTCTGAGGGAAAGCCATCGGTTTTTCACAGAACTGGCTCCAAATTAGTAACAATCTTTTGCTTTAAAGGATTGTGAAGGATGAAATCTTACTGAAATAAAGAAGAGAATGTCAGTTCTGTAAGCTGCTTATCAACAAATTTCAGATGACAGTTTGGGGAATAGGATAGGTCTAGGGAAAGCCGGATATGAACTTCTAAATGAGGCACATATGGAAACTTTAAAGAGGTGGAAGACACCAATGAAGAAAATCCCCCAGGCAATGCTCACAGAGGAAATACAGTGCAGTGTGAATCTCTTCCTGTATTTTCAAAGCAGTTTAGTGATACTACTGTGGAGAAATCACTTACATAGTACCAAGCCATACTGAGGGGTGGAACCGGTTTCCAAACCAAATCTTCCTTTTCATACTTAGGAAAGACAGGTACTTCCATAAATCCTGTCTCCATCCTACTCCACCCCACCTATCACACTTTAAGAAAGATCCTTCGCAAGCTTGGGAATTGAGATCAGTGATGAACCCAGATGTAAAGTGGAAGCAAAAAGATATCAAGAAATCAGTTTCAGAAAAGAAAAAGTCCAAAGGTTTCAAAACTTCTTTACTAAAATATGAATATGTAATAAAATAAGCAATTCAAAATAAAGTCATATAAATATTTGATAAGAAAATGAGTCTTAGAAATATCTGTAAAAGTTTTAAGATGTTCAGAAATTCTAACAGGTTTCAGCTCTTTAGGGCTAAGTCTTACTCAAGCTTTTAAACCATAAGGAAATAGATGTTTCATTACCACTATTGTCAAGAAATTCTTAACCAGGAAGAAGCTGCAAAGTAGGACACAAGCTCAATTTCAGAGGAGCCCTGGTGCAAGACAGAGCCCATCTTATAAAATCACTAATGTAAATCTAACTTATCACAAACTTGGTAAATAGATGTGTTTCATTTATGACCATTTCAAGACAGGCTTGATCCAAATATTAATGTTAATTTCTAAGGGTTTTTTGTCAGCTAAGCCAGCCTGGTCTTGCTCTGTGATCTGTTCTAGGTGAAAAAATCATTCTTGTCAGCACTTTCTGGCAATTCCATTTTGTATTATTACTATTTTTATTGTCTTAACTTGGGCTGAACACCTTAACTTATACAGCATTTGCATTTTCTATGCATATTTCTTGTTCCTTACATTAGGAACAGTCTCATCTTCTATTTGTACCTCACCTCTCAGACCTCAGAAGAGTTTTCATCTCCTAAAGGTGACACTCAGAAGAAATATGAGGACAAAGGGTAATTTTAGGTTGGCTTAGAAGAATATGGTTAATTCTTACACCAGCTGCAAGGAGACCACCATTCCTACTGAATACCAAAGAGCAAATGGTATTACTGAAAATACCATTTTCACTGAAAATGCACTCCACAGACAGCATAATGTTTCTTGGCACTAAATCCTACATCTTACAAAAAGGGAAAGGGTTTGATTCTGAGCTTTCAGGTTCTCCTATCACCATGTGGTTACTCGGCATTTAATTCAGCACTGCTTAACTTTCTTTCTGGCTGCAGTTGCTTACACTCATGGTTGTTATAGTACACTCCAGTGAGATGATATTTACGGATGAGGAGTGGACCACTTTTCATAAGTACCAAAGTATGTAACAACCAGGAGTCCTGACTTCAGTTTTTCCCTATACTATAAGTTTTCTTGTGGAAGATCAAACACCTTTCCAACCTAGTTGATTCTGTGATTCTATGATTCGATAATTTTATGTTACATAGACTTTCTGTTTTCTGCCAGAGAAACTGACGCTGAGGTTGTTGTGAGGCAACTTGATGTTAGGAGGATACAATATAAACTAATATTATCCAGGCTGTGGGGTATGTCCCTTCTTGATGGGAAAAAGTTGTTAAGAAAGAACAAGACAGAGAAAAAAACAATGGTAGGTGGAATGAGAGAGAAAGTCAAAACAATCATGAAAATGCTGGGGATGAAATGTAGCCATAGATAAAACATCTGAAAAAACAAAGGCATCCTTCCACAGCATTCATAGGAGGCAATATTGTTTCTTACTTACAGCTTTTACTGTGAAGCTCTTGATTTCTCTCTGAACAGTCTTAGTCAACAATAAACAATCCTCAGTTAGTTACATTTAAAACATTGTGGATAAACACTTTCATTTGTCTAGGTGGCAGCCCCAACTGAGGTGAACTGTAGATTTATTTAAGAAGGCAAAACACATGCTCTGTAATAATAGCTTCTGCTGGAGTGGAGGTGTGTATTGCTCCATTCTGAGATGGCAGCTTTCTCCTGAGTTCCTTCCTGCCTACATAACATGCTAACGTGGAAGATGAGAGATCCAAGAGTCTACTAATCTTTAATCCACCTTTTCTACCATCCTTTACTAAACCAAGGGCTGTGTTCAAGAGGAAGAGGTTAAAAATGGTGAGAGGCAGTGATAGCTGATAGAGAGCAGGCAGTTAGCTATCATGCAGTTAACTCATTCTTTATTCTGGTAAAAAGACCAACTCACACCTTTCATTTCCCCATACAGAGTGGTACTAATTTGAGGACATCTGCATTGTCTTGGCTTTCTTCTACCCTTCCCACCTGAGAATTTTGCACTCTTCTGATGTGTAAATTCTGGATCTGATGGCTGTGATAGCAAGAAGAAAGCCAGTCCCTTAGGAGGTTCTTTACACTCCTATAAATATAGATTTTCATAAGGATGTCTAACCCTAAGGTAGTTCAATTCTCAAGTAAATGTCCCACGCATCTTAAGATGGCATGTTTGGGAAGAGCTGCTGATTGGTATTCCGGGAACC